ACATTTATTCTTCTGACAAAAGCAACAATGTTTCGTTCATTGTCCGTAGTATCTTAATATTTGAAACAAAACATCTTAAGCCATTGTAACAACAACGAGACTTCATTTAAGAACACACCGTAAAATCAAGAGTTGTGTTATAAAACTCTAAGAAGAAACTGTAGTCGCCACTTCATTTAACACTGTATATAAAAATAAACCCGTGCTACCATAAGTTAAAAAAGATAGCTACAGTAGATTTATGACTCAAGGTCTTTACTTATATAACAAAACCCTAATAATTTATTAATTTTGACCCTAAATAAATGAAATTTTAGTGATTAATACAGTATTGTTATATATTTATGAGAACATTTCTTAATTGGCAAATAACTAACCACCTGTATACTACTCTGTCAAGAAAGTAGCGGGAAAAGATCAATAATACACAAACTGTTCGTTATTCATCCAAATTTATTTTATCACCTTTAAAATATGCTCCTTCAGAAATGATACACTTAGGCCAACGAATATTCCAATTATCAAAACATTTTTTAAACGCTGTTTCCGGAATTCAGTTCAGTTCTCACTGCGAATTCTCCTTCATGTATTCTACCGATAGAAAATGGGTGTGCCACGTAGTAGTAATTTGCGTTTAAGGAAAAAGAAATTAATCGGCTGGAGCCATATCTTTATTTACATTACATAATTAAACATAGTTACACTTTTTAAGTTTTTTTACAGCATTTATAAACCACGAAGGTTTGTGCCAATGCTGTTTATATATCTGTACTAATTAATTAGGTTTACAACAATTTACACTTAACACAGACACGGTGTGCCTCCATTTCTCAATTCTATTTCATGCTAGGTTGTTTAAAAAATATGTTTTAAGTTTTGTTTTAATATTTGATAATGTAATATTTTTTCTTAATTCTGTGGGTAATTCGTTAATAAACCGATGTACCAGGTACACTGCAGTGCGTTCGCCGTATGTATTATTCGCACGAGCGGTACACAGCCGGCGCTCAGCAACTGCTCTAGTAAATACAGGATGTTGACGTTCAATCTGTATCCTATTATCAAAATAGTGTTGTTTCAGAAAAATGTATTTGTATTGTGTCATTACAGGTAGAACGCGGCAATGCTTAAATAGACCGATTTCCTCATTTCTATATTCTTTTTTAATGTTATCCGAGACTATATTTTTTAGTATTCTAGTTTGAAGTTTATATATTTCATTCAAGTAAGATTTATAGGTGCGACCATAACTACTAATACCGTATTGAACATAGGACTCGGCCAATGCATGGTATAACAGTAGTTTCATTTTGAAAGGAATTCGATTTTTTAGAATTACTATATTTGCCAAAAATTGTCTAAGCTTATTACAGACGTATTCTATGTGTTTGCTCCAGTTAAATTTATTATCTATAAGTAACCCAAGATACTTTATCGAGCTGACTTCTTCTATTGCAGGACAGTAACTCGTATTGTTGGGATTGTGTAGGCAGTTATGATTATGGGCTACTATTGTTTTTGTAGGAAAGCGTTTTACATAGGGAGATTGAATAACTAATAATTTAGTTTTATCACAATTTAATACCAGACCAGCATCGTGGCACCACCCAGTTAATAAGTCAAAATCGGATTGTAAAAGCCCACAAGCTACTTCCGTGTCTTTGCCCGCGACGATAAGACATGTATCATCAGCGAATTGATAACAAGAAGAATGATTTAAAATATTACTTAATTCATTGACATAAGTCAAAAAATGTACCGGGCCCAATACGGAACCTTAGGCCGTGCCAATATTCTGTTCAACCGGTTCGCTGAGTGAGTCTCCAATCTTAACTCTGAATTTGCGTTTTTTAAGATAGTTGTCGCACCATTTCAGTAATGGGCCACGTATACCACAACTATCGAGCTTGTCAATAAGTCGGTTATGATCTAGCGTATCAAAAGCCCGCGAAAAATCAATGAACAGAGCTAAAACTGTATTTTTATTGTCCAAGTGGTTATTTATCTCATCTGTAAATTTGGCTAACAAATCAGCCGTACCTTTCCCAGCCTGAAATCCAAATTGCTCCAAAGCTTGTTGTCTAGTTTGCATGTCATTAACTCGTAAACCCACATCTCGTCACCAGTAACAATGCGTTTCATGAATGTTGCGTCAGAATTGACTCGTTCGAGCATGTCCTCAGCGACTCTCATGCGATCTAGTGTTTGGAGAAAATTCAGGTCTTTGGGGATTAGCCGGGCGGCAACATGTTTTATACCCAAATGATTATTTAAAATAGTACGGATCAACTCGTGAAATACAGAAAGTTCGGCGGCTCTCTCTCAAAGTTGAATGAAGATTTTCAGTAACTTTTTCTTTCACGTTTGCGATATTAACTTCAGTTGCAGACGTTGATGGCTTAAAAGACCGAGGTAAAACTTTCATCATATCTCGACCGCTTTTGAACGCTTTGCATCACTCATAAGCACGCGTTTTTGATAAAGTCGATTTACTGTAATCCTTCTGTAATATTTTCAGTGTCTCCAAACATGAAATTCCATTGACGATGCAAAATTTTAGACAAACTCTTTGTTCGATGTTTTTGTCCATTATGGAATTCGCAATACACACTAGACATAAAACTAAAAACAGCACTGTATTTAATATAAAATAACAGATGTGACTAAAACTCCGCGCTAAAAAAACAGTTGTCCCAAAACAACAACAAAAAAACATAATTTGAATTTGAAACCACAAACAAATATTCTTATCTGGTATTTAGTGTTTATAATTCTCGGAGGATGATGTAGTCAGGCTAATTGAAGAAATTAAAATAACGAAGGATCCAGATGTTGACATTATACCACCTATATTTTTTAAGTCGACTGTCTCTATTATTGGTTGACTATTCGTGTTGATCTTTAAGTATACTTAAAAAAGGGTGTTACTCGTATTTAAAACGGCTCGTATTATTCCCTATTTCAAAGGTACTCTCAGTAATAGTTCCAATATCTATACTCTCAGTTATAGTAAAACTTTTTAATTCACAGTTAGTTAATTCATAATGCTATCTTTCCATCTATACATAGTCATAAAAACCGATCGACTTTAACTAATCTATTAGTTTATATATCACATTTATTTGATAGCTTGGATCATACCAAGCAGGTTGATGGTATTTACACCGATTTTTACAAAGCTTTTGGTAGGGTTGATCACAGGATACTGTTACAGAAGTTTGCTGATAACGGAATCAGAGACGATTTGTAGCGTTGGCTTAAATCCTATGTCACAAATCGCAGTCAGAAGGTTGTATTGAATGTATATGAGTCAAACTTTATGCCAATTACATCTTGGGTGGAATGTGATGTTGGTAATTGTTTTAGTTTTAGTGGTTTTTTTTTTATTCGCCGATGACTTAGAGATTTTTCATGCTATCGACTGTATGGACGATCATCTAAAAGTGTAGAATCATCTCAACCGTTTCTCTGAATATTGAAACCAAAATAAGTTGGTTTTAAGTAAAAATAAGTGCATGACTATAACTTTTACGAAAAAGTTGCAAAAAATGTTTAAGACTATCAATTGTGTAATTTCAGGTTGCACCGTGTAATCTATAAAAGACCTCTTGATATGCCCATAGACAATATTACGAATAAGGCCTACAAAATGTACGGGATCATTATGCGATCTAATACTAATTTTATTCGGCGCTCTACTTATTTTCACTTAAACAAGACCCTTGTTCGCCCCCAAACAGAATATGTTGTGCCCATATGGGACACATTTTATAATAAATATATTAATATTTAAGAGAATGTTCACAGGAAATTCTTGCCTTGTATTCATTATAAATGTTTTGGTGGCAGGTTATCGTACCAACAGCTCCTACTCAAATATAATTGTATAAATTTAGAATATAAGGGTCATAATCAGAACGCATAAAAAAAGAGTGCTCTTGATGGATTATTTTTTAAACAACAGTTACATCATAACTTTGTTCTAGTTATAAAATACAACATCTCTATTAACTAAGAAAGTAGAAATCCCATTCAAATAATTATTTAATATGTTAGTAAAATATCATAAATCAATCTTATCGTACCTTTCCGTGGACCGTGTCAAGTGGATGTTCGTGTGTTTAGGTGTAATTTAAAATTAATGAATAGTACAACAATGTTTTTCAATATTGTCTAGACAATTGTAGATATTCTCCTCTTTATTATCCTAAGAATCTCAATAAATAAAAATATACATATCGCAAGTTATTAATAATAAACAGATTGTGACAAATCTTGCAACTCCTTCCGTGGACTACAAAAAACGTACCGTTAAGGATCACCAAAAAAATCTACTACGCGAATTTATTAATTTCCACTAGCAACATTTGTAGCTGTCATCTGAACCGACAGTTTGACAACAGGTTGAATAAGTTGCAACGAAAATCTGTGTTTGTTCTATAAATAAAGTATTTAGTTTTGATTTTTGTAAAAGATCGTTGCTACTTTTCTGTTACAACAATATTTTGGTAAGTACGATACTTATAAATCATTGTGTCATAAGGCCTTATGCTATTTGAGGAACGATTGTAAAAATTACCTTGCTCGTCTTCCTAATCTCAAAAATCTGCATGTCGCAATTTATTGTTTTGATAGACGACCCTTCCGTGGACAACTATCACGTGGACATGATGTCCACGGAAAAGACAACGTCCACGGAAGTGACACTTGAGGATTTAAATGTTTTGATTAGTACTGCACTATATGAACTGCATATTTTTATTTCATTCACGCATTTGGTGATTTAATATAATACGTACACTTTAATTACATTTATTGCAAATAAAGACATTATTATTATTATTATTATTATTACAACAGGTAATGCCAAGAGCAAGTAGGTCAACATCCCAACTTAGCGACGATGAAAAAAAGAAAAGGCGTCGTGAACAAAAGAAGTTAAGCATGCGGAGGGCACGTGCAAAAATGGATGAAGCTGAAATGGACGAGATCTCTTGAAAATGAGAAAAAGAACCGCTGATTTAATTGAACAGAATACTCCTCCTTCAAGTCCTGTACCAAGTACTACTTCGTCATTTTCACGAGTAAATGCTGGCAAAGCTACAGCAGATAGAAATAAAAGGGCAATGAAAAGAGAGAACTTAAATTTAAAGGCTAAGGTTTTACAGATGAATCAAAAGTTAAAAAAATACAGAATGCGTATAAAAAGACTGAAAGCGAAACAAAGAAAACAAGTGGCAAATGGAACAAATTCGGTAAGAAGTGAAACTAGAGCTTAAAAACAAGATATCAAACAAGCTGTGCATGATTTTATATTGCAAGATGAATATAGTCGCCTGACTTCGGGTAAAAACGAAACGATAACCCGCAAGAAAATAAAAAAACAAATACGTTTACTAAACGACACACTACTTAACTTGCACACAGTGTTCAAAAATAAAACTGGGCTTCATATTTCTTACCAAACTTTTAGAAGATATCGCCCTTTTTGGGTGCTTTTTCCGAAAGCATCATCAAGAAATACTTGTTTATGTATTCTGCATGAAAATAGTGATCACATAGTTCGAGCATTACAGAAAGCAAAAGTAATATCTTTTGGATCTGCCTCTGATTTAGCAAAATCAATTTGTTGTCAGAACTCATTGAATTTAAAATGTTTAGAACGAACATGTACGACCTGTCAAAATGAAGAAATTAAATTAAATACCTTAATTAAAGATGGCTACATTACTTATGAGAGATGGGTTACTAAAAATAATAAAATAATTGTCAAGGGAATGGAAAAGGTATGCAAAAGGTCCGTTAAAGAAAACGTGAAAACTACTGTTACATCTCTTGTACACTTGTTACATATAAACTTACCGGTATACATGAAACATGTGGGTAATTTTGTTCATCAAGTCAGGTCAATCCATGCTCTTAAAGAAAAACTGTCTCCTTCAGAAGGTTTGTTGCATATAGATTTTTCCGAAAACTATAACTGCAAGTACAGTGCTGAAATTCAATCTGCCCACTTTGGCGGCTCTAAGATTCAGTTATCACTTCATACGTGCGTATACTATAGTAACAATTCTCAGCCACCTGATAGACATTTGAAGACGACATCATTATGTACAGTATCGGAAAATTTGAGACATGACCCTATATTAATATGTGCGCACCTAAAACCTGTTATGCAGAGAATAAAGCAGATTAGCCCGGATATTATAAAATTGCATGTACTTAGTGATGGCCCTTCAACACAGTATCGAAACAAGTCGATGTTTTATTTGATTGCAAATTATGTAAGTAAAGAATTAGACGTAGAGGCTGTGATTTGGCATTTTAGTGAAAAAGGTCAAGGGAAAGGTGCTCCCGATGGAGTGGGTGGATGCGTGAAAAGATTGTGTGATAACTCTGTTGCAATAGGTAAGGATGTTTCTAATTACGATGGTCTTATGACGTGCTTGCAGGCAAATTGCAAAGGAATAGAAATTTTTGGATGATTCTGATGTGCCCAAAATCCAGAAAATCTTAGAAAAGAGCACAACGAAGCCTTTTAAAGGCACATTCAAAATACACCAGCTTACATGGAGTCGAAGGGACCCATTTATAATACACGCAAGACGGCTGAGCTGCTTAGATTGCCCGGAAGATAAAAATTGCTCACATTTTGAAATTGGACAAATACACATTCAATATGACACATCCAATATATATACACCTGAGTTACCGAGATCACCGGCGGCTGCGTCTGCTAGAAGTAGTGCATCTCCAATCAATATAGCCACTCCCGATGGTTCAACTGATACAATCTCAACCAATCGATCGTTCTCGCCAGAAAGTCCACCAGCTACACCTGATAATTTTATGTTACAAAATCCTCCTGTTTGCCCAAAAAAGAAAAATAGGAGCGTCTCCGACAATTCTGACAGCTCTGATTATATTTTTGACCCTCCGCTAGCTAAGAAACCACGACGTTTCATTTTACCCGAGACAGACAGCGAAATTGAATCTACCTTCTAAGTGTTTTCCAAAGTGATTAGTGATTCGTTTGTTATTAATAACACATTATATATAAAAAAAAGTTGATTAGCGAATTCTTAAAGATAGCTTCGTGATTACTTATAAAAGTTTAAAATAAATTATTTGATCTCTTTCTTTTAAAATGAGTCTAGTTTTAGTAATATGGTCCACAGAAATTCTCTTCTGTGGACATATTTTAATATTTTCGTAAGTGACAAAATATCGTTCCTCTTATTGTTTCGTTTTTACTATCAGAATTAAGTGCACTATGACCTTGTTTTTGATTAAAATTTAAAAGGAATATGTCATTTCTCTTGAAACAAGATACAATTAATGTCTTTTCTGTGGATTATATCATCTTTTCTGTGGATACATAAATATGAAAATTTGTCCTAATTGTTGATATACTTTAATTTGATCTCGATTTATATTTTTAGATAGTTTCACTTGATATAATAATAATAAATACCAATTTTGAAAAAGATTCAATTCAATTTTTATTTTTGTCCTTTTAAAAGTTTTATCTTGAGCAATACTTTCCTTCGAAAGGTACGTTAAGCCGTTGGTGCCGGCCGCATTTGCAGTCGTTAATACCCTCCAATCCGCAATGGGCCAGCGTGGAGGGTCATGGTCCATCCTCCTTAACCATCCATAAAGAAGGCCTGAGCCCCTGCAGTGGGGACGTAAAATGGCTGGTGATGATGATGATGATATAGGATGATATTTAACTTATTGGTAAGTTGACTATCTGACTCTATTTATACGAAGGGTCGGTAAAATCAATACACGTGTTCACAGGTATGAGTTAACTTTTAGACTGTTTTAATCTTGAATAACGCTTTACAAATACATAATTGTTTATATAACAAATATCACAGATTACGTTGCCACAGTGGACGTCAAAGATTATTAAACAGATGTGCCACAGAAGGCCTGTGCTCCTGCAGTGGGAACGTTAAAAGACTAATGATGATGACGAATAAAGATTATTGATTTATAACATGACACGAAGTTTCTCAGGTCAACTAGATTAACTAAATGTTTAGATTAACATTTACAACCAATATGATATTGTTATTGATTAATATACATGTTTTGACATTTTCGTTGTTTCATTTGTCACGGTAATAAGATAGAAAATAACATATACATACAGCATAGAGTGGTGTGAGATATTTCAATTATTTGAAAAGTAAAAGTTTTAAATTTTCCCTTTTAAAAAAGTGAATAAATTATGACAAATAATGAGAATATAAAGGAGAATTTTAGGGGTAATTTTGTGATTTTTTATCGTAACTTTGATTAAATTAAAAAAGGGAAGATACGACTCACTCATAGTTGCGTTTAGCTATCATTGCCAGTCATAGTGTAATAATATTCTAAGTAACATACTCGTATAAAAATTACAAAACAGTATAAAGAGGCGCTACAAAATAAATACATGTGTTTATTTGGTTTTCCAATACACTCCATGAGTGCGACAAAATAAATTGATACTATCTACCGTACCCCCGAGTTAAAAGCTTTCGGAAGGTCCACACAGTATAACAGAAAATAAACGGGCCGTACCAATCTCAATGTTGTCACGTCTCGGTAAAATAAGACACGTGCTTAATACAATATTTTGCCGCGAACGCGGGCAATATGGCGGCCCAGTTTTTTTCGACTTTGCTGTGAAGGCAATTTTTTCACATTTCTTTTACAATTTTTTTTAATTCAAGTATTTATTATTACCATATTAATTCAAATTTTATTGTTATACTCAAGTTATACTAGTTTTCCGTGAATTCGCCCGCGTAAATTATATCTTATGTCACCCGCGAGTTGAAAGCCAAGCTTACAACATGGACATAATAAAAATATAATTGATATATTAAAGAGAAACATCCAAGACGTAACAAATATTAACAATTTCGATATCATCGATACCAGCCATTGTGACACTGGCTACTTCGGGGAAGGAAGCCACGTCTTTTTAACGATAGGTTTATTAACTGCAAAATTATATAAAAGCTGGCTTCGTCCCTTATTCGCTAACTCAACTGACAGCTTAAAGTCGTAAAAAGTGAACAATTCATATGTGACAAAATCACTTATTCGTATGACCGCTTGCCCATAGAGCTCTGTGAACAATTTGTTGTGATTGACCTCAGCGTTACAGTAAGGGAGCTAGTTTACTAGTAGCACTATACCAGACACCTGGTTAAAGTTCAAATATACCTATATTATTTATTATAAAAGTAATATTGTGAATTTCAAAGAAATTTTCTTTTTAGGATACCGCACATAGAAAGGAAAAACGGAACCCTTAAAGGATCACTTTGTTGTCCGTTCGTCCGTCCGTCTGTTTTCTAACCCTTTTTCTTCTAAGCCAAAGCAATCATAAGATACAGGCGTTTATGCCGCAAATTTTCGAAACTCGCAAGGGAGTCAAAACCTACAGGGTTTGAACCCTTTTTATTACCCCTTGAACTCAGACCCTTGAAATTAATACGGTACGAAGTAATGTCTTATAGTACAAATAAAGGAAAAATAGCGAAAATCGTAAATTTTTAGTTACATCACATAATAAAAATATTTTAAATCTTTTACCCAACGAGTCCAACTAGCACTTGGCTGGTTTTTTTTAAACGATCGTATTTTCAAGAATTCGCCTGGCGCCCAACTTGGGGCCCCATTAAGTTAAGAAATACAAATTCACTCAACACTTTGTATTGACTTTTACATCATTAAAACATTTTATGTTTTAACTGTTTCAATTTTAATGAACCAAAGTTATACAACCATTCTATTAATATTAATTAGTATAGTTAAAAATTACTGTATGAAAGTATTCTACTAGTTCATAATAAAGTAATTCGTCTAGCATTAACTTTTGATTAAAAACGTATTTTGGCAAAAAATAACTAACCTGTATGAATACAATTCTTTGGTCTTTAGTTAATTTATTTAACAAGTGTTACTTTTTGTCACTCGAATTTGGCAGTATGGGTAAGTTCTTTCGTCTGTCCTATGAACGAAACACTACTACTGATTTGACATTAAAATTGTCAAGTTGAGTGATTTTCGTTTTTATCCCGTGTCGAGTGGAGAAAGAAAAGATATTTATCCAAATAAATGCCTGCAGGAGGTTCTACAATGGATTCTCAAAGAGAAAAAGCGTTCCAGGACTACCGTAAAAAGTTAATGGAGCACAAAGAAGTAGAATCCAGGCTCAAAGACAGTAAGAATTAAATGACTCTAAACCCCCTTGTTTTATGCCGATTCATTGCTAACGAATTATTTTTCTCATAATTCAGTTAAATTGTGTTAAGAATATAACACAATTGTTAATTCATTTATATTAAATAGTATTCGTGACCTTTATAATAGTAATTCTAACTATAACAGAAAAGCTTTGAAAATTAACAAATACTTACGTTTATTCATAGTTCAGACAATTTCTAAGAATTGAATAATTGTCACAATATTATATTAATTTTTCAGTGAGAGAACAGCTTAAAGACTTGACCAAACAGTATGATAAAAGTGAAAATGATCTCAAAGCCCTTCAGAGTGTCGGTCAAATTGTCGGAGAAGTGTTGAAACAGTTGACAGAAGAAAAATGTGAGTATATTTTTCATACACAAATACCTTTTGTTTTTGAAATGATACATTCTCTATCTCCATCCAAGATATGTTACAGATTGCTTAAATTACTGTTTTATTATTTTTATTTCAATTGTCAACTACATTTTTACTTAACAACATCTTTAACTATCAATGATCTCAGTTTTAACCTAAGCAACATTTGCATAAGAATTTGAAGTACTAATTCATCAATAGGTCGCCTGTACATCATTTAATGAAATTTTCAAATTTATGATGTCAGTACCCAAGACATATTAAAAAAAGCCTGTAAAATGCACAAAATGGCAATTACAATGTTCTTCCTGAAAAGGCTTGATATAACAGCAATATTATTTTTAAATGAACAATAAATATTAGAGATGCTCTGAATATTCATTTGGTATTTTTGATGTAGCATATTTTTCACTATTTGGATGTGCTCAAGAAAGTTAATAAAATAAAGTAACTGAACATGACATCAACATCTTTTTTAACCTGTTTATGCAGCAAAACAATGAAGTGGTAAACCAAAGAATTCAGCTGAATATCTGGTTCATTAAAGGTTAAACTGAATAATATTAGGTATTCAGTGAAACCACTGTTCTGCTATTTTTAATAAATATAATTTATGTATTTGCAGTCATTGTAAAAGCAACAAACGGTCCACGGTATGTTGTTGGATGTAGACGTCAACTAGACAAGAACAAGTTAAAAGGTGGTACCAGGGTTGCATTAGATATGACCACATTGACGATCATGAGGCATCTACCAAGAGAGGTATGTTAGTTTATAAGAATGTTCCATTTCAAAACTACTAAACAATTGTAATATTTCGTTGCAAGACATAATAAACACACTATAATATTTTATTGCTATATACCTACTTCAAAAAATATTGTTAATATTTGCTTAGAAATAATTAATTGTAAGATCATCACAATGTGAGAGATTGCTGTAAATAAATCATCATCCAAAAATATTTAGTGATCATCCCTACCATAGGTGATAGAGTTGCCGCTAATGAACCCGGAGCTGTTCGTGCGCGTGGGCATCACGCCGCCCAAGGGCTGCTTGCTGTACGGCCCGCCCGGCACCGGCAAGACGCTGCTCGCGCGCGCCGTCGCCTCGCAGCTCGACGCCAACTTCCTCAAGGTACTCTCGTGGGACCACTTTTGTTCACTCCACTTATACTTGCTGCCTGCTGTACGGCCCGCCCGGCACCGGCAAGACGCTGCTCGCGCGCGCCGTCGCCTCGCAGCTCGACGCCAACTTCCTCAAGGTACTCTCGTGGGACCACTTTTGTTCACTCCACTTATACTTGCTGCCTGCTGTACGGCCCGCCCGGCACCGGCAAGACGCTGCTCGCGCGCGCCGTCGCCTCGCAGCTCGACGCCAACTTCCTCAAGGTACTCTCGTGGGACCACTTTTGTTCACTTCACTTGTACTTGCAATTTCGTTTAGTTAGATGAATAGCGTCATCCTCAGACTTTCAAATTTTTATAGATTTGTAATAAGATATTTAATTAAGTATCTTAAATAGGTATAACATAGGAAATGTTAATTGTTTAAGTTTTAAGTGTTATACCACCAGTTAGTGCAGGAAAGTGGAACCTTCAATACCGTTCTCTTATCGTCATTTCAAAAAGTTTCAGTTTATATTTGTGATAACTCTCGTATTATCTCGTGGACTAGACGAGATATATACGTTGTAATTTACACCAAGCGAGTGCATTTTTAAGATCCTTTATTTATATTCGGTAATCATGATTTTTCCTGACACAAACTACCTGTATAAATATTATAAAGAACCGAGATTTGGGTTTTAAATCTTTCGCAATGCTATGTACCGCATCAGGTGGTGTCATCTGCGATCGTGGACAAATACATTGGCGAGTCGGCGCGCCTCATCCGCGAGATGTTCAACTACGCGCGCGACCACCAGCCCTGCATCATATTCATGGACGAAATTGACGCCATCGGTAAGCAAAACACGAAAAAAAAAACACCTTTCTGCCAGCTAAAGGTGATCTCACCAATCCGCGCCAACCGAAACAAAGTTGTTTACACTTGATATAGATTTATTAGATTTTGCTCACGATTTCGTACGCCATGCGTAATTTGAAAAATGCTAAAATTAATTTTTATTTCTATTTTATCAAGTGCCTTTACATAATTTGGTTATGATTAGTGGTTTAATCTTTGACAATAATTAAACACAGCACTAATAGGTACTAACTTATAACTAATACTTTGTGATCTGAAATTATTAGTATAATCTTTTATTAAAAAGTATACATTGCCCATACAATCTAAAAACGACTTTAAGCCTACGTTACTTAATTTCTACTTTAAAATGTGCAGGTGGCAGACGTTTCTCTGAGGGCACAAGTGCTGATCGTGAAATACAACGAACATTGATGGAGCTGCTCAACCAGATGGACGGGTTCGATTCCCTCGGACAAGTGAAGATCATCATGGCCACCAACAGGCCTGATACTCTGGACCCCGCACTGCTGAGGCCCGGCAGGCTCGACAGGAAGATCGAAATACCATTGCCCAACGAACAGGCCAGGTCGGTGACATATGCGTAAAAATACAGTGTTGTCTTGGGATAGTGTTATTCTTGACGATTAATAATTAAACAATATCATTGAAATAAGCTTGAGCGTCTTCAGAATTTATGTATCCGTTTCATCTTTGGTCTACGCATGTATGACCATATCTCTGATTATCGTACCCAACTTCAATGGCTACCTATCTCTCGTAGAAGAGACTGTCACATCCTATCGCTTCTTTATTCTATTCTTTTTAATCCTCAAACACCGCAATATCTTAAAGATCGCTTCGTTTTTCACTCTTCTAATTCTCTCCGAGATTTGAGGTCTTCCCATAACCTTTCCTTAGTGATCCCTCCTCATACAACTGATTTTGTAGCCAAGTCGTTTTATATCAGAGCTATCAAACTGTGGAACTCACTGCCGGTAAATATCAGACGCGCACAATCACGAGAGTCCTTTGTTAAATATGTCAAGGAACATTTCCTAATGCTGGATTCATCTTCCTGAAATTGTATTCTGTTTTGTATTGTTTTGTATATCTATATATATATATTTTTTTTTATTATATTAGTATATATATTTACTTTTAAGAATTTTCACATTCATCTTTCTTTAATACACTTGCCCGCTGTCTCTTTACTCAATCGGTATAGCTTCTTTTAGTCATGGGTAGCCTGGTAGAGATTGCTACCTTAGCAATAAGGCCGCCTTTTGCATCGATGTTTCTAATAAAAATTGTTTTCATGTTTATGTGTTAATGGGCAATAAAGTATATTCATTCATTCATTCATTCATTCACCGTTGAAAGTTTTTTTTTGCAATTTCCAAACTAATGTCTGAATATTGTCTAAGAGTTTGTGACAAATGCTTTCTAAAGTAGTTTGTGGTTTTAATTTATACGGGGAGGGGGGGCAAGTGGATGTACTGTTAAAAGACAACTTCACAAAACTTTTCATATGTACGGTACATGCAATAAAACTGTATTTCTTTTTAATTTAAGGACAAAATAAATATAATTCACAGATTAGAGATACTGAAAATCCACGCTGCACCAATAGCTAAGCACGGTGAGATGGACTATGAGGCTGTGGTGAAGCTGTCCGATACATTCAACGGAGCGGATCTCAGGAACGTCTGCACTGAAGCTGGACTGTTCGCTATCAGAGCTGAGAGGGAATACATCATACAGGTATATTCATTTATTACTTGATTCAATTTAGATTATTTGATTTGAGTCTATCCGTAGAGAATGCCCGAACTCCAGCAATGGGAACATATATGGACTGGTGATGAATGGTGATAGTGGTGAAGACTTAATTTGAAAACCAGGAGTCAAACCTGTGAATGTTTATTAAACTAGGATCCTTTTTTTTTTCATTATTGAAACAATGACGGTGGAATGTAACTCTTAGCATTGAAAAAAATAAGTACTGAAATGGATACTGGTTGCTTATTAAATCAAAAACTTATAGTTTTGTATGTAATGGAATATATATTAATGAAAATGTACACAGTAGCAATAGAACAGTCTCTTGGATTGCGAAAGGACGACCCCAAAAGGGGACATGTGGTTTTGATAATTTTTAAGCACCCACATAGCCGAAAGAAATGTTTTATAAAACATTTTAGACTTTCGATTAATATGAAAATTTATTTTAGCTATCGTATTTCATCAATTTTCGTCTTTATCGAAAGTTTGAAATATTTGTTTTAGCTGGATTCGGGTGTTATAGTATACCGTTAATAGCGAAAGTGCTTGAAAAATCCATCAGTCCTGTTAGATCCTGGGTAGCTCAGTGGTAAGAACAGTTGCCCGGATTGCGAAAATATTTTATTTTTTATAAAATAACATTATTTTATTTTTACAATTTTAATTTAATTAACACTATTCTTTTACAGGAGGACCTTATGAAGGCCGTAAGAAAAGTAGCCGACAACAAAAAACTGGAAAGCAAGCTGGACTACAAGCCCGTCTAATTTTATATTAATTATTTTCTTTATCAATATATAATACGATAGAAATAAATTGATATGTCGATTTAGAGATAAATCTATATGAATTATTTTATACACAATGAAAATCTTAAAACATCGACAAATGATTTTCCAACGCGATCAAAAGGTTTTTAAGTCATATGTTGCTGAATTGAGTGTCGAATAAAGTTGTATCTCTAAAGTGATATGAAGGTTTGTAATAATAAAACTTTTAACTTGTATAAAATTTGTCTTATTTTCACTTTGTTTTAGGAAATGGTGTGAAACCAAAAATAATCCTAATTTACTTAAGTTATTTATTACCTACCGTCAATTTACGTAATTCTCACAGTAAGTTTACGGGTCTTTATAATAATTGTTAAGTTAATGACAATGCCATATGAGTATTTCTTCGAAAATTCGTAGCAAACAAAAAATAAAAATATTTTATATGTAATCCTCTAAAACTTATTAAAATTGGTTTTATGGTGTTCAGCAATGGCTTATTTAAATGTTAGATAAAGTCACTATGTATGGAATACGGTCGATACCAGTGCCTCATTCTTCTTCTTTTTAATTAATGGCGTTGACCTTGTGGATTTGGCCAGAGTCCAGTGTTTCGCTCAGTTTGATTCATATTTTAATATTTATTACTGACGGTTTTCAACTAACTGTTTTCCCACGACTTTGCCGACGTAAATAATAATTTATGTCACAAGTTGTCAAATATGAAACGACGAAGGTGCCACAACACCCAAACCCGAGACTATATACATAAGTTAATTTTTCTATTTTGACCCGTGATTGAACCCTGTATCCTCTGAGATGACGACATATAACCACTCTTCCATGGATGAGGTGTAATAGTCCCGGATCGACAACGTTTTCCAAAGGAGGCAGAACCTTGATATTGCTTTTAACCCTTCCCCCCAACACGCATACCTTTATAATATTACTAGCCTTTCGCCAGCGTATTCTAGTTTTAAATTCAGAGATGAAAAAATTCCATAATAACTTTCATCTCCTAATGAGTTATTATGGAATTTTTTTCATTCCCTAATTCACCCCTTAGGGGTCGAATTTCGTAAAATCGCAATTTGAAACTTAGAACTTATAGTTTCTGAGATTTCGTGTTGATGGAGTAACCTTTCGCTTTTATATATATAAATTATGATTTTGGCGCATGACTGCAACCATTTGAAGGCCCCCCCCTTATCCTTAGACCGCCACTGAACTAGAGAATAAAAATAAAAAACAAGAGTTGATTAGTACAAATATACACATTTATTTATTATCACATATCTATATTTAATAAATTTTTGCATTCATAATGCTGTATCGATTTTGTTTATATATACAAACGTAGCTAATAATCACAAATATTGTCTAGTATTTGGCAATCAAATAACACTATTTTCTTAACAGATACGTCATTAGTTCTTAAACTTTATTTAATGAAATCCGGCAACGTGCCATTTTTGCGCGCCTTCGCAACGTTCTCGTAGTAACACGTAAAATCCACATAACTTTTTATCTTCCTGTCTTTATCGAACTGTCTGGTCGGATATATGTCCGATGACGATTCCACCGAGCGATTGGTGTCCACAATCGAATCATTAGTCTCGATTTCATTCCCAGACGAGTACTGTTCCGAATCGATTTCATTTAGTAACGTAGTGGACTTAGACTGAACTATTGGATTAAATCTGACCGATGTGTTTCTCTGCACGCTCTCCTCGGCTGGTGGTAGGAAGTTGAAGTTTCTAATAAGCAAAGACATATGGGTGTTCGGTTTCGGTGTCAAATTATTCTTCACGCAATACGAAACAAATTCTTCTTCTATTTCTTCTAGCACGGACTGACTGACGCTTTTGAAATTGGTCTGTTTCCTGAAGTTTTCGACTATGATTTGAGACAGTTGCTTGTTTGTTTGTTCGCTGCTCCCTTTCGCCTCCTGAATGCGTTTGTACACTCCGGCGCTGACTAAAACTAGGAATCTGAAATAGTAAAACTGTAAATGAAATTTAAATAAAGGTGTAACCGCCTGAAATTACTCTACATCATTTTTCTTGGTACATCTTGACAAATTAAACAAGTGTGTTTAATTTCTGATCTAAAATTTCAAGATAATACTCAAAATTTTACAGCTGTTATGTAGACAGTTATCTGAATTTTCGCTTAAAACATGGCATGGCAACTCTGGTTGAATTAGTTAGTATATTTTCCAAATCCACTCCCTCCCCCATGTTAGTAAAAATAAGTTTGTCTAGTTTTGTTGACATGCTCAAAGTATGTCAACAAAACTAGACAAACTTATGTAATAAATAATACTTGAATATGATACAACCTGCATGATTCATCCAAAATGATGGGTCCGTGTATCTCTGGCGTGGCGACGACTGGTTCTGAAGCGGCCGCGCTGATGGTGGGGAATGCCCTGTACAAACCCTTCACTAGATAATTGCCGAGACAACGGGTGCCCGTTTGATTGCCCAAGTATTGTGCTAAAAAACAATTTGTTATATGTTATGTAAACAGAAAAATTTACAAACTGTTGTGTCCATAACAGTTACATTATAAACACAAAATTAGAAGGGTCTGTTTGTGTGAGATAATCTACTATATACTCTAGATGTGCAAGGTTGGATGAACTGACAAAGTCTAACAGACTATGTTAATACCCAGCATTATACTCACCATTTCTCAACTTATTAACATCGAGCCCCAATTGCTCCAGCCTCAACAGCTCATCCTCATTATTCAAACTGTGTTCTACTGTCAGCTGTATAACCCTCAATACTGAGTTATCGTCTGTCCTGCACAGCAATGCTCTGGTCTCGCCTACATTAGCTATGAATAGTTTCCCATTGTGAACCAGTGCTATGACTACAGTTGCACCTCCAGAAAGATGTTGGTCTATCTCTTTTAGACGGGCCACTATGTGGTCATATTGTGACATCTAGAAAGTGAAATTAAAAAATATATGTATCATACATAAGTTTTTGTTATATTATTTGATGTTAATGGAGTAATAATAAATGAGAAGTTTTTCTTTTCCAAAAACTGTTAAAATTATGGACCTTTGGTCATTATTATTAGTATTATTATGTTGATTATTTTAATTGTTATAGAGCATTTTGTTTAAAATAGAACCAATACAACAAATAAGTGTTAACTCCTTGAAAGTCATTTTTTTTTTGGTGTGGTATGGGGCAAACGACCAGACGGATCACCTGATGGTAAGTGATTACCGTCGCCCAAGGACACCTGCCACACCAGAGGGGCTACAAGCGCGCTGCCGGCCTTTGAGGGACGAATATGATCATAGGGAGGGAAGGGTTGAGGGGTAGAGGGAAGGGAATAGGGAGGGGTTGGGCCTCGGGTACCCTCACTCACATGACGAAACACAACGCAAGCGTTGCTTCACGTCGGTTTTCTGTGAGGCTGTGGTATCACTCCGATCGAGTCGGCCCAGTCATGCCGAAGCTCATAGCACATAGTCAAAAGCAGGTGATAAAACAAAACTTTCTTCAATCAGTTTTAAATGTTCAATATCAAAATCAATAGTGGAAATTCCATAATTTATGGTAACATGACATGTATCTATATAACAAACTCTGTGACACCTTGTAACTTGTTCTTGTATGCAGACAATGACAATGAGATTGTAACATTGAATAAAAATGGTTTGATATATGTATTTGCAAAAGTATGAATTTAAAAAAGCACATAAAGTTGGTAAAATATATATTATTTTATATTTTAAGATAGAGTATTTTTAACTATAATTACACACTAGTCTTTGAGTACAAGTTATAGAAAAAAGTTGGAGGTGTCATTTCTTCCCTTATATTCATAATAAAACTAAATTTAGAATTCCATAATACCTGTTGCTCATTTATTGTTTGAGGAAGTTGGTACTGAAGGCTTGTTCTTTCAGCTATGAGTCCATCATAGTTCTCTATGTAGGCTTTCTCAACAGATACAAAAGCATTCCTATAAAAACAATCTATTTTTAAAACATGTTTCATCTTTATATACAGATATGAATTATGGTTGATTTCTCTTGAAGATTTAAGAAATAAACTTTTACCTTTGTGAAGTTTGCATTTGAGTAATCATAAGGCTAAACAAATGACCTAAGGTTTTATTCATTTATTACATTAACCAGTGTGTAGGTATACACTCTTAAGCATCTATTTAACAATTAAGTTGCTTAAGAGTTTAGCTCATTTTTTAGAATGATACTGATACTGTATTACATTTAATAAGATAATGGCATAGAATTTCAACTTTCAAAAGTGTTTGAATGATTGAATGAAAGACTATTTATATACATTATATACACCTTAGTAAATGAACAAACATAATAATGTAACAGACAGTATAATTGGCTGTCTTATTGCTAAAAAGCAATTTCTTCCAGGCAACCTTACAATGACATACAGGATACAATTGTAATATTGGGTAGTCTATGGTGCCTAAACAAAATATGAATAGTTAAACAGATATATTGCCTATAAGTACATAGATATACATAGCCATACATACAAATAAATATAATCAATGAATGAATGAACACTTTATTACTTTTTACTTACTTGATAAGAAAAATTAATAAGAATAAAACAGTACAATTGGCGGCTTAATATAAACAACACATACATATATATATACACAAACTTATATAATTGCTGCAATGAATTTAGTGATGGATAACACTCCCTAACTAATATTTTAAAATTGTTAATAGTTTGTGCACACCTAATATCCTCTGGCAATGGATTCCAAAAGCGAGCAGCTTGTACTGTGAAAGCAAGTCATTCTTTATTTAAATGCATTGGTATTGCTAATTTTATGGTGCTTGTAACAGCCTAGCCTGAAGAAATGGTTTCAATTTGATTTAAAATGTCTCTGCTTAAATATATAATAAAATAAAAACTAGATTAAATTACCTTAACCTATCTCGTATCTCTTCATCTGTATTGTTAGCCGAGGGTGACGGAAACAATATTTCAGCAGCCATTCTTTGCATGATAAATCGTGCAGCATCCAAGCCATTGTGAGGTTCAAACACACCATATAAGCACCTGGAAGGATATATTTTTTTTATATTTACTAGGAAACGAAACAAAAAGGTTACTTATATTACTTGTGTAACATTGTTTTAACCCAAATTAATAAGATACCAATGGTGAAAATGTATGAGTAGAGGACGAAGGGGTTCTGAACTAGGATTTAGAAATTTTTCGTTTAGTTTTAATATATTTCGTGCATCATTTTGTGATGATATACTTCTAGGCTTAAATAGTTACTAGATAGATAAAAGATTGTTACACTCACGAGTTATCTTCTGTTTGGCAATGGAAGCAAAGATAATCATCTACGTTATTTGTATTGCCTCCGAGACGTGAAAAATAGGAAGCAACACATGTGTTCCTACATTTTGGTAGATCGTCTGTCCACGGCCGAGCTATCATATTTAATTTAATAACAAAAGCTGTGTTAAAATCCTGTAACTTGGTAGGTAATTATAGATTGATTGAAATAAAGTTCAGAATGTTTACCTCTTTAAGATTTACAAAAATAAACTGACATAGTGATGCAACGATATATCGGATAATTGATCTATATCGAGATATTCAAAACGCTTATTCTCAAAAGCAAGTGCCACCATCACACGAGTCACGAAGAAAGAAGAGACTTCACAGAATTAGGTTATCCGAGTTGTTGTTAAACTACTATTTATTATCAGTATATTTTTTATTACATATGTGATAAAAATCATAATAAACAAATTTTATTTGTCTAAGATTCTTTAAAACAAGATTTTGTTTGATTTGCTTTAGAAGTAAAAAAGCGATAAAATATAGTTATATCGATTACACAAAGTTCGTTATACATACATATTTTGATCAACCCCATCACTAATTCTGACATATATTTTCATTGTTTAGTATCGTAATTAAAATCAAAGGATTTAGCCCATACAGCCAAGTCTTATTTATAATTTCGCTATTGTATTAACTTGGATGTTTGGTTACAATATGCAGTTTTAGAGGATCATGAAAATAATCAAAATTACAGCAAAAAATATAGTTTCTTAATATATACTTAATTATAACATTCCACCAGCAGATTTGGCCACGTGGACTAGTGATTCCTAACCTTTTTTTATAAATAATACCCTCATGACCTATTATGAAAACTAATTTTTACACACGGTGAGGCCCCGCCTGAAAGATAACTCTAGATACACCCAAGATATTATCGTTTTATTTTCACTTATAACCCGTCTTAAATTGTAACCCTTTATAATTCTTATAATGGGCTTAATTATTAGGTTCTTTTGCGAGTTAGAAACCACTGGTCTGTCCAGGGACTGAACTGACTGAACTTATATATGATGCTATAGGTTGGTGACGTTACTTATACACGGTTAAAAAGTCACACAGAAAAAACTCATTAAATACAATAAGTACATCGAAGATAAGTTTTGCCTTTGTCTATATATTTTCTATGAAGCTTAAAATATTTTTTACAGACCTCAGACCTCCTAACAAAATTAGGTATTTCCTCTCATTTTTGAACCTTATTAATTGTGATTAGAGGTCAAAATCTATTGCGAAAATGACATATTTAGGTTACCACCTGACCACCTGACGTTACGTGGGTATTTACTAATTATCATGAATGGGACGGGAAGGACTTCCTCTTTTGTGGTTAATATAACAACCAAAACATTATTAATATCAGTTACCTATCGTGTTTTTTTAAACTTAAATAATTATCAAGTCGCAAATATAATTATTTCTATTCTCGTGTGTAAATAACTCTTCAATGTACACTTAACTGTTTGACTGAAAAAAAGCTTAAGTAATTTGGAGACCTTACCTAACTAAGGAGTGTCAGCGACAAATTTTTTTTTTTTTTTTTTGTTAAATACGATACAAGGGTTAAAGATCAGTGTTGCCAATTTAGCGACTTTGTCGCTAGATCTAGCGACATTTCGTTTTAAACAGCGGCTTAAATTATGTGTCTAGCGACAAAAAAAAGCTAGCGACTATTTTAACGACTTCTAGAGTTTATATAAATCAGTATTTTAAATATTACAGACTCTTATCAGAGTAAGTAATATTTAAACAATTTCGGAACGCTGCCGTAAATTCTTATACTTAAGCCGAGATCCCTCAATGCTGTACTTGTGGACGTACAACGGGGAATTCGTTTGCCAAACGTACATCGCAGCTTCAGCCATCAACTTCGGGTATTAGTTCCAATTCCAGAACGGATACATTAAGTATTCCAGATTATCTGATTATTAGCGATAGTTCTGATAATGAATAATAAACTTTTTCATCTTTTTTGGTATTAAGTTTTTGACTTTTAAATTCTGATAAATATTTTTTTTTGTTATATTTCATTATAGTATTGAGTTGTTGATTTTTTATTTGTCAAGTAATTGTTTTTTCGTAATTTTCAATTGTTTTTATACCGATTACAAATATTATTATAAGTAAAACAAATTATTTTCTTTTATACCAAAGGACCAAAAAACTGTGCCCTCTTCTGCCGTGCGTAAAACGATACAGAATTAGAAGTACGTGACTAACTGTATTACGCTGTTTTATCCGCACGCGCTCAGTCTTTTAGCGCCTTCTAGCGACTTTTAATCTTTGTCCATAGCTAGCGACATCTAGCGACTTCTCAAACGCACGCTAACGACTTTTTGACATGTAGAGTTGGCAACGCTGTTAAAGATTAAACAAATTAAAACAGAGACTCTATTTGAGTTCTTGCTTGACTAAAAAGACTACCCTTACGCAGCGACCTACTTACGCAGCGCAACGTTTTGTAGGTAAGCGCATCTCAATAGAAACTACTTCTATTTTGCCGTTGTACTATTTACCTGAAGTCCAATATTATATCTGTCACCAATGATGTGTGAGGGAGAATTAGCACTCGAAATATTGCGATTTTGGGTAGGTATATTGTAGGTACAATAGTAACATGCAAGATGCATTGCATTCTATTGAGATGCGACGTAAACGTTAGCAGAATCGGCCTGTTGATATATTGATATTAACCAAACCATACATATTAATTAGGTATAAAGGCACCTATACTCCATTCATTATAGCATTAGACAGAATGAAAATAAGGTTCTTTTTATGGTATACTTTGTGACAAAATGTCAACAATCATGTTACTCTTAAGACTAATCGCTAATTTGCTACATATCCACTTAAATACCAGCTGCTATACTTAACCGTAGTCTTTTAAGCTATATGTTAAACAAATTTATGAGTTAGTTTCGGCATGATTCTCATGTCACTATAACTCTACCAAATTAAAAACGTTACCTAATCCCTTCAAACGTTTCGGCAGTACAGCTTTTTAATTTTGTCAGATTATGATTTATTCATAATAGTCAAAATAAGTAATCTGGGATTCTCATTCATTGTGAATGCTACTGCCTTTCTTGTTGTTTTGTCATTTTAGGTGATTGAGTAATTACTGTTTTATTGTTGTTTTCTTATAGTTTTGTTTTAGTTGTTATCTTGATGTTGTTAAGTTTTGCTAAATTGCGATTCCGGTGCAGGCCCGAGTGGCCTACAAAAATTACACTCTGAGCCCCCATGTATACCCATTGACATTTCAGGAAGTTTTTCCTATGTCTTCATCAATAGTCTAACTAATTACACTTACAATTAGAATTTATTAAAACAACAGATAGATAGTTTCAGTTTTAGTTCCATTTTGGCTTGGGAGTAAAAAATGAATTTATAAAATGCTGGCCTCATCTCAACCCCGAGGTATCGTAAAAAATGGAAAATTGCCCAGCTCTTTCAGACTACCTAATGTTCAAAGTATAAAAAAAAAACTAATATATATTTTTTTTTAAATCTTGAAAATAAAATGTTCTGAACTGCTGCTTCTATGACCCTCTTTTTTTCTAATGTTATATTATAATGAATGGAGTATAAATGAATTTACGTGCGCACAACCTAGTTTCGATCGCCAAAACGTCTATTCCCGTACCCATAAAACAATTGGGTCAAACCTTATTTTTCAGCGTTCCTAGAAATAAGTAAAATAGGTACACACAATATATGAAGTTAATACAAAATCCCCAAGTTTCCCTAATCAATTCTGAACTCAATGAACAAGGAAATTAAGGTTTAAAATCGATTACATAAATTTGTATTCTTATTTAACTTGACTAGGTACACACGGCCACAAGTGAGACTTACATTGTGGACTTTGTACCGAGCGCGCTTCGTATAGAACTAGCCTACTAACAAAGGTCTGCTTACGGTGGAGGTGGTAGTGTAGCGTGACGTGCGGGAGTGTGTACTATGAATTTTATTTAATATTCGTGACAAGTTAAATTCATTTATTTAAAATCATTTACTCTGATATGATATTATTTAAGTTAAAAGAGGAGTTAATCATCATTATGAATATGTATTGTTTCATATACAGTCAACAGCATGTTATACAGTAATGCCACATTTCACCACTTGATTTTAAACTTTTAATATGTTGATGGTAGAGTTCAAAATCAATTGCTAAAATTTGACACGTTGTAATAATCTGACATACTCTGTGCTGAGCTACTGTCAGCACCAAGAATTTGTACAATATTGGAGATGTTGCAATATTATAACTTTTACAAACAAAATTTGTTTAATAAATATTTACTATTGTATCTAACCAAGTGTCAATGAATGGAAAATTCCAAAGAACGAATTAGAAACTTTTCAAGAAAAGCAAAATATTCAAACTACAAAAATAATAGAGTAAAAATTATATGAAAAATCTTCTATGTATTTTATCATATAACAAATATATCTTGAAAGTTATTTATTAAAAAGTATCAATGACAAATTTTTTAACAACTCTGAATATAAGATCTGATTTTGTTCAGTTACTTGAAATGAGTGATACACAAGTTCCCAGACCAAAGTTTTAATGACTCAAAACTCCAATCATTTACAGTTTTTTACAATTTTTATGTTTTTTATTTATACAATGTTAGCTCTAATAAATCTAAGAGCTATTCATGACTATATTTTCTTTTTAAACCTATTTTAATTTTAACTTTTTTATTTAAAAATGAGAAAGCAATATATTCCTTATGGACATAGTGAATCAACAACTTTAGAAAATACCATTATTTGAAAATATTAAAAGGTGATTCAATACACCTTTATTCACTATACAAATATGTTATACCTACCAGAGGTGCAAAGAAAACATAATATAATGTATATGAAATAGAATTTGTGTAAATGTAACCATTTGCCAATCTCTCAGTGTTCTATTACAACACTTAAATCATTAAGCATATGGAGAGAGAATCAATATTATTTAAATTATGCAGTTATTAAACTAAATTAGTGCATGGCATAAGAGACAAAATCTATTATAAATTGAATGGATTCACCGAGGATTTCCAAAGAGAAAAGATATTTCACAGACATAATTTTATATGGTATGATCACAAAGCACTATTGATTCATGACACTACAATAACTGCAAAACATAATTTTAAATACATTTATTAAGGAACATAAACAGGTGAAACTAAAAATTAAAAACCTTATACTGACATATCATAATGACTTTGGAAACCTCGGTTTTTCACATCACTTCATCGGATGAGCAAAATAAAAAACTAAACCGTTGTGTTATGGACATTGCTTAGTCAGTTTTCTTGTCAGCAGCTTTGGTTTCTGTCTCTTTCTTTTCTTCCTTCTTCTCATCTTTCTTTTCCTCTTTCTTTTCTTCTTTCTTTTCTTCTTGTTTTTCCTCAATTACTACCTCCTTAGCTTCTTGTTTCGACGCTTCATCGAAATTACCTACTAGGTTAGGTACCTCGTCGTCCTCTTCTAATGGTTTTGGCGCAGCGACACTTGACGCCAACCTTTTTAACTGATTCAAACCTTCAGGTCCTAGCTGGCTTAAAATACCAGGTAGCATCTCGGCTATTTGTTTGTTCTCTCCATGCCCGGTAATAGCGAACGTATTCGCCGCGAGGGAGGCCTGTGCTTTAGGGTTGTTGAAATGTATCACTGTACCATCATCCTTTATCATATTAACTTCTTCGATGCCAGGAATAGTATTCACTGACAACTTTTTTAAAGATGACTGCAATTTTTTGTCATCTGTGGCCGCGGTAGCATGCACAACCTTCTTCTTACGCCGCGGAGTGCCTTTGCCTCCAATGCGCACTTGTGATTGAAGTTTCTTCAGCTTTTCAGTGTTCATTTTGAGAATTTATTACGGCGTGCCTCTTGAAAGAAACGCGGCGCACTATTTAGTGATGTTTGTTTGTTAATTATGGTCGCGGACACGCGAGTATTCCATGTAAATTGTTAGCACGCACGTGTTTTGAACACCGGTAAGTTACAAAGGGAAAATGGTGGATTTTGCGACAAGTTATTTCTGATTTTATTTTTCTTCCCGTTGGCATCATTGATTAAGCGTTTCGTTATATGACGCGATGAGTGAATAGTTTAGATTCTTTTTAATATACAATCAAGTCTCGTATATGCGTAAATTAAATATATATCATCATTATCTAAATAAACTACATTTGATTAATGTTCACTTTTATAATAGACAGTGATGGTAACGCACATCGTAACGAAACGTAACACGTAAATAGTAAAGTAAAAGTCAATATTAAATGTTCAGATATTTAAATAAATAAGTAAGTAGAGAACATAATAGGCTTGCATTTATTACTTAGTTACTATTAACTATAGCAATTAAGAATAAGTATAGCAAAAAAAGGACAAGAATCCAGAGCCGTATACATAATAAAAAAGCTTCTCGAATATTATTTTTTCTTACGGTTGGTGTCACTTTATTCATCTGTCGTTTGTACCGTGGCGCCATCTATCAAATGAATCTGACACTTGACCAAAACTGGTTGAATGGATAATAGAGAGAATGTTGCAAGACGTAAAACTCAGCAAAGATGGCAGCAGCATTACTCAACCTAAACACAGAAAAAAGTTCTCGAAATCAAACTAGATGTCGCTATGCACTTTGAATCTCATGAAAAATTATAAAGTATTTCGTACATAATGGAAGACGTTTATTATATTTTGCCTTCCTTTTTATACACACTCCAATTTTCATTTTATTTAAGGTTTGACGTGACAAATGAACCCTGCTAACAAACAACTAAGTATAATATAAAATGTGGTCCCCAGTCTGGACTTGTCTGGCCAAGGTAAGGTTGAGAACCCTTGACCTTTGAACGATAGACGTTGGTCCTTTTTGATCTTATACTTTCCGTTTCCGGGCAGCAGTGACAGAAAAGCGCCTATGTAATGATTGCGACGGCTCTACACTAGCTAGACATGCGCCACAAGTGCCGGCATAAATAGGTAGTAATTTTTAGGTGTTTCAAAAATTGCTTTACAGATTATTTATTAAAATTAATCAAAATTTAGATAAAAGTCTTCTTGTTGTCCAGCACATGACCGAAAATAATATATTTTTAAGTTATGATCAGGGTAACATTTTTAGATTAGGCTGTGGATTAGGTTAGGTTAGGTTAAGTATAAGGTCACTTGGTTGTCATTGAAGTAGAGGTCCTCTCTACCATCGGTTACAATCCTACTTCTTTTCTGTGTACTTCTTAATATGTGGCGTAGCTAGGTAATCTAGGGCCCTGGGGCAAATAAAAAAATGGGACCCACTGCTATCAAATATAAGCTTATCATCAGCTCTTTTTCGTGCATAGGCAGGTAATAAAACTATTAAACACTAACAACATAAATTACAATTATTTTTATACTTGGTGTAGGTATTAGGCAATAAAACGAAATAGAAAAGATTCAAGGGTTTATTATATATTTATCTAATCATAGATACGTTGCACCAGTTTACTGTTATTTAACCTATCGCCATGCAAGCTATTTACAAAAAGTATCAATAGAAATATTTGATCCAGAAGTACTTGCTGAAGGCCGACTAAAAAACTTGTCAATTTTGGGCAATTTTTGTTTACTTTCTCCTCTTTCTTAGCGTTGTTTGCGTTTAAATGCACCACCGGGTTTCTTTTTTTTTGTCCATAATATTAGTTTTCTAATTTATTTATGTAAGATTGTACTCAAGTAGGTACTCACTGTTCACTGACAACGTTACAAGTAAAAGGAAAGCGAATCTTGAATGAATGAAAATGATACGATACAAGGCGTCGTTGGGGAATCCCCGGCAAACGCTTTATCGCCGTCAGTGTTACTACATTTGACGGTTTGACGGACTACAGTCAAATAAAATTGAACTTTTGTATGGACCAGTACAAAAAATTTATTGACATACGATTACTTACTCCTGATACAATAACTTTTTAACCATTCTCGAAAAAAAATCTTGACTCGAAGTTCACAATCGCGAATCACAAAAACGCATATCGATAAATAATAATAAGCAGATATTGACTACTTGAACTATTTCCAACAAATTGATGAAAACATTAATAACACTGTCAACCCACACAAATAATTTACGGGAATTCCCTTTTTTACCTAATTATAACTTTAGAATTACTCACAACTGAGTTTCCATGATGAAACTCGAGTTGTCACCTGTCATTTATATTTTGAAGATGGGACAAATTTTCATAAATTGAGTTCGATTGAGATTTTCTGGTAAAGATTCGAGGGCCCCTGAGCTTGAGGGCCCCGGGGCACTGCCCCGCCTAGCCCCTTAGTAGCTTAATTGGTAATTTTTTGTGAAAATGTCCTTGAGAACACCTGTCTTCGCTCTTTTAACGTAATTTCTTATTTTATCTCGTTTCTTGATACCATCATACTCCTTTCCATAACCTTTGACAGTGTTCTTGTATTTCACTTTTACTTCAATCCTTATACCTTTATTATTTAGGTATCTATTTGACAATCAGTCCAGATTAACCAGCATAATCGGAAACGCATATTTAAAATTTAAAAAATGTTTAAAAATTTTATTTTTTTGTAGGATGTCCAAGTTAAAAGGTCCCGTGTGCCAGTTCAGGCGATTATATGAATTAATTTTATTGGTCGATAAGCCAATGACAGTCAATAACAGACAAATGAAAATGAGGGACAGAAATCACACGCACTCCGTTTGTGAGCCCTAGCGACCATTGTAAATGACACAAACGCCGTTGCATCTTTAATCATTAGCATAGTAAACGTATTGAACCTCGTCTCAAGTCTATATACAAGCGTTGTTAAAAACAGTACATTACTCTACAAACGATAATAATTATTAATTAACAGTCGGCACTGTAAGTAAACTATTTTCCTCTCTATTTGTGAACATAAAATTCAAAAATAAACTCTCATCATCTCGTAAAAACGTGCTATCAGCCCAATAAATATTTATCTGCGTTTACTAAATGGACTACAAAATGGCGGGCTATAAAACTGTCATCGAGAAATCGTTTCGCGCCATCTTTTGAAGCGCATGACAGCTATTTATAATTTCCGAACGCATCAGTTAAGTTTCGCTAAAACGTTTTAGATCGTTCGCGGCCACTTACCAAAGTTGTTGACGGATGGATGCTTGCGTAGAAAACTGATTCCACGTTTTTGTGATGTATTATTAATTATGCTTTTTAGGGTTTTAAGCGACATACTAGCAATTTTTCTCTCATTAATATACTTAAGCATGCCCTCAGTAAGAGATATTATTATTTTAAAAACAGACTATTGTTCATTTATTAATTTAAGTTGGTTCGTTTCAAGACATCAACATTACAATAGTCTTAAATTAACTCTAGTCTTAAATTTCATTTATCGATTTAATATAGAAACTAAGATTTCCATTTTATCTCTGGTTTAGATGACCGGTGACCAGCGTTGTTTCTTATTAGGGGTGTAACTATTATTCCCATTAATTACTGCAATTCTTAGTATTATTTCTCAGCTTTTTTACGTTTTTACCAAATTTAAATAGAATTTTAACCATGATTATGTTAGAATTAAATTGACTCTCTGTTTGTTTTGGTTTGGTCTTGGTGTAAATTAATATTCAGTTATTTGAAATACTTTTTCTACGTAACTGTTCTCCGATCAATAAAATAATGCACTTAATTTCAGTATCCGTTACGCTTGTATTGGTTTTTTATAATCATACATAATTTAAGTGTTGCTAGTTGATTTGGTGTTACGATCCATTGAAAGGTTACCTTGAGTAATGATTTGATGATCTATAACAGGGGTACTGCACTGTTGCGAGGGAAAATATAAATATGTTCAGATGCACATTACCTTTATGATAAAATTCGTCTTGGAAAATATTAATAGCAAATGTACTACTAGATCGGAAGTTACAGATTATTTTGGGTAATAATTTAAAATATTTCTCAGCCACAATGAGCTCGTTAGTTAGGAATTGTATTTATTTTTTTTTGTCAATATTTTTCCAGTTTTCATTTTCAAAGAAAATTCTTTTCAAGAACTATTCATTAATAAAATATTAGCAGAGTTTAACAAACAAGACGTTTTTATTTATTATACATAATTTTAATAATAAGGTTTTTTAATTCAATGATTCATATATATGTATTTTTTTTAAATACACCGAGTTAACATGTGATCCTACAATAGATTGATTTTCTAGATATAAATTACAGGAAAAGTTCTTGTGATGTTAAAGATTCTAATATACTTATTCCCATACGAACTACGACTTAAAAGTTATATAAAAAAATCACATATAAAAACTTAAATCACCACTTAAAAATTCTTAGTAAAAATGTTTAAGTTTTATTAAAGAAGTCGGATAAATGTTGGTAATCCCTGACATTAGTTATCTAATACAACTCATAACAGTAAATATTGCGTTGAAGTGTTTCAAGTAAATCACTGACTTTGTTTATAATGTATAAAAGAATCCATTTGATTATTATTAATAGGATAAAGTAGGTTTGCGAACTAGTAACAGTATGTGTTAGAATATTTTTAGTAAAAAAATACTATAGTAATAACTAGTATATAAAAATGTAGAAGCATTGTCATTGTAACACGTTTTATTTTTATCTTTTTAAATTACCAGCATAATTAAAAATCATTAATGCGGCAGACATTTAGGCATAAAGTTAGCTTTTAGATAGATAGATAATTGATGTTTTCGCGTCACAAAATGAGCACACAAGCATACCCAATAACGTGTGTACTGCAATACAAAAGAGTAAAAGCGCAGTGATTCTTTTGTTCAGGGAATAAAACACTGATTTCAGCCTTTACTCAAAGAACTAGCACGGTCTCACACACTAATTTTGCAATTTCATTTCATTATCATATGTCACAATTTGAAAATAAATATTATTATTAATCTTCTTCTAAAGGTGCCTCTCCAACTAATGAAGGTTAGCGATTAGCATACTAATTTACAACGATCGATCATCAATAGCGTTTCTGTAACGGTTACGTTTCGATTTTTG